GGATCCGAATGCCAAACTTCTTCCCGGACAGGGGGAGCCTTTATCCGATCCAAGCAAATATCGAAGATTAGTTGGCAAGCTATTATATTTGACTATCACTCGTCCAGATATTTCCTTTTCTGTGAGTGTTGTTAGCCAGTTTCTACAAGAGCCATGTCAAAGTCATTGGGATGCAGCTATCAGAATTTTAAGATATGTGAAAAGATCTCCAGGTACAGGATTACTCTACAAAGATCACGGACATACAGAAATTGTTGGTTACAGAGATGCAGATTGGGCAGGATGTCCTTGGGATAGGAGATCAACATCTGGATACTGTATTCTATTTGGAGGTAATCTGATTTCTTGGAAAAGTAAGAAACAAGATGTGGTTGCACAATCAAGCGCAGAAGCAGAATACCGAGCAATGGCACTAGGGACTTGTGAACTAATTTGGGTGAAGCAACTCCTCACAGAACTCAATTTTTGCAAATTCGGTCCTATGAAATTAATATGTGATAATGAGGCAGCTTTACACATTGCATCCAATCCTGTCTACCATGAAAGGACCAAACATATTGAGGTTGATTGCCACTTTATACGGGAGAAGGTTGCATCCGGAGACATTGTCACCACATTTGTTGGGTCAAATGATCAACTTGCCGATATCCTCACTAAATCTCTTCGTGGACCTAGAATTGATTTCATTTGTAGCAAGCTAGGAGCTTTTGATTTGTATGCTCCAGCTTGAGAGGGAGTGTTGGAAATATCTCCTTGAGCAGCCACTCCTCAGCCTCATTAAGGCAGTTTCTCCTTGAGAAGAGAAGTAGTTGTCTTGGGCAGACTGTTCCATTTATTTTGTCTCTTTCATTTATTATGTCTGTTCCCTATGCTCTTTCTTTTGCCTATATATTGTGTTGTAATCTGATGTTCTAAGTATGAATGTAAGAAATAGAAAGTACTTTCAGTTCTTCTTCAAGCCTTACAACATATATATATATATATATATATATATATATATATATATCTTCTTCAAGCCTTACAACATATATATATATATATATATATATATATATATATATATATATATATTCTAAACAATTAAACATATTCAAGTATTCAACATACATCAAGTCACCAACTACTCCAACTACATAACACACAAGTAGAATAATCAATAATATCCACCAACATCCAAGTTAAAACTCTCAAAGATCCATCAAAAAGTCATCCATATTCCCTTGCCCCTCATTGTCATCATCATTATCTTCATTTCCTCCCTCTTGGTCATCATCATATTGAACATCATCATCATCTTCAATTTCTTCATCATCATTTGGAAAAGGATCTTCTTCTTCATTTTGTTCTTCCCCATCTATCCTAGAACTATAAGTATTGTGGCATCGTGAATAGCTCAAGATTGGTGCACTCGAATGTTCCCCCACGTGAGCTCTCGTAGGAAGATTACGGCCATCAAGGTTGTTTGATGCACCAATTACTTCATCAACAAGCCGCCATGAAAGATCTCCCCTGGGATGAACATCATCACTAGATCCACTACCATCAACCCATTCATTGTTCCATTGGAACTCTTCTAAGACCAATGGATTAAAGTTGGACATTCTTCCCGCATCTTTATAAACCTATTTGCAATTTTACGGTTGTATTGAACATAGACCAAGTCGTTCAATCTCTTGTGCTCTAAGCGGTTTCTTTTTTTTTTTTTATGGATCTAAAAAAGTAAAAGTAGAAAAATAAACAAGTTTAAAATTTATGTATACTCGGAAAAATTATACTTACTATAATACTATTTACTAATTAGAAAAATTATACTTACAAACTCAAATGTGCTCCAATTGCGCTCACAACCAGAAGATGAACAACATAGGCTTGTGATGCGCATTGCAAGTGATTAAAGCTCAATACTAAGTCCACTAAAAGCATTCCACCAATCAACTACAAAAACAAGTTTAAGATTTATCATATTAAGTATACTTTGTAGTTACTTAGTATTACTTACGAGTAGTCTTTGATTTTTGTTGTTTGACGACTAATTGCATCCCAAAGTCTTCTCTCATGTTGTCATAATTATCAGCTTCATTGCTAATCTTCATTTGCAATTCATCATCGGTAATCACCTTCAGAAGTATTGCATTGAACATGGCTCGTTGCTCACGAGCATATACACCATCCTTCGCCTTAAGATCAAAATATTTAGAAGGATTTAAAAACAATGCTGTTCCATATAACTTCACTCCCATTTGATCTTCCCATCTCCCCTCAACAATAGTCATCAACTTTGCCAACAACTTTGGCTTGCTTGCAAATGTTTCATTGAGTTTTTTCTTAGAAGCCAACATAGCCATAGAAAGATCGGGCATAGCCGGAGTTATATCACCATCAACGATCCTCAATACAATCAAAAAGGGATGTGATTCCTTCAAGCAATCCTCAACAGCAATCCAAAATCTAGATGAAAGCACAACGTCACACACCCTTTTACCTGCATCTGTGTTGGCTAATTTAGAGCTAATCCAAACCTCACTAGCAAATAAATTCCTCAAAGCATTCTTGTGCTTGTACAAACTTTGAAATGTGAGAAATGCTGTGGTGAATCGAGTAGCTCCCGCTCTCACAAGATCTTTCCCACCTGTTTGCTCTATAAGAATTCAGTCGTGTCTATAAATAAAAGTGGTAATATTTCTACCAGTTGCAATCTTGAGCTTAAACTCCGCCAACTTTTCAACGTCCTCTAGCATGAGGTCAAGACAATGTGCTGCACAAGGAGTCCAAAATAATGTAGGAATCCTCCCCTCCAAAAGTCTGTCGGTCGCCTTATAATTAGCTCCATTGTTGGTCACTATTTGAATAACATTCTCTTTGCAAATTTCTTCAACTTTTTTCTCCAACAATGCAGGTAACATTGTTGCACCTGTGACTCACTCGATGCATCAACCGACTCCAAGAAGAAAGTCCCCTCGGGACTATTGGCAAGGAAGTTAATTAAGTGTCTACCTCTCCTCTCAGTCCACCAATTTGACATGAGTGTGCACCCGTATTACTTCCAAACAAGCTTGTGTTTTTCTTTCAACTTGTCAGTCTCTTTTCTTGCATTCTCAAGGAGAGGTACCTGTAACTCATGAAAGCTAGGAGGCTTCAATCCCAGTCCCATTTGTCCAATTGATTCAATCATGATTTCAAAACGCCTTGAATTTGACGCATTGAACGGTATGCCATTCTCATAAAAGAAATTTGTTATATGCATCAATGTCCTCTCTCATTCTTCCTTATGCTTTGTACAAGCTTCAAGTCTTCTTTGAGTAGCTTCGAATGTCTCTCATCAACAACTTTTCAGGAGTCTTTCTAAGAAGTGTTGCAACTGATTGATTTTGTTTTCTCACTCTTTGTTGCGGTTCTGCAAATCTTAAAGTGGATTGTTTTCTTTTACTCGCCGTCTTGGAATGATGATGTGCAAGAATTGGCATCCGGGACGGCTAGTAAAAGAAAACAATCCATTTTGAGATTTGCAGAACCGCAACCGAGAGTAGGAAAACAAACTCAATTAGTTGAAGCACTACTTAGAAAGAGTCCCGAAGAAGTAGTTGATGAGAGGCATTCCAAGGGTCCTATTCAAAGAACACTTGAGGCGTGTACGAAGAGTAAGGAAGAAACAAAGAGGGCAATAATGCATATAGCAAAAACTTTTTATGAGAATGACATACCATTTAATGCGGCTAATTCAAGAAGTTTTATAATGGTTGAATCGATTAAACAATGGGAACCGTGATTGAAACCTCCTAGCTTTCATGAGTTACGAGTACCTCTCCTTGAGGACTCAAAGCAAGAGACTGATAAGTTGAAAGAAAGACATAAACTTGCTTGGAAGCAATACGGGTGCACACTCATGTCTGAAGGGTGGACTGATAAGAGAGGTAGACATTTGATTAACTTTCTTGTCAATAGTCTCGAGAGGAGTTTTTTCTTGGAGTCGGTTGATGCGAGTGAGTCACACAATGCAAGAATGTTAGCTGGATTGTTGGAGCAAAAAGTTGAAGAAATTGGAAAAGAAAATGTTGTTCAAATAGTGACCGACAATGGAGTAAACTATAAGGCGGCTGGCAAACTTTTGGAGGAGAGGATTCATACATTATTTTGGACTCCTTGTGCAGCACATTGTCTTGACCTAATGCTAGGGGACATTGGGAAGATGACGGAGTTCAAGTCCAAGATTGCAAGTGGTAGAAATATTACCACTTTTATTTATAGACATGGGTGAATCTTTATTGCTATGAGAGAGCATACGGGTGGGCAAGATCTTGTGAGAGTTGGAGCTACCCGATTTGCCACAGCATTCCTCACTTTACAAAGTTTGTACAAGTACAGAAATGCTTTGAGAGCTCTATTTGTTAGTGATGATTAGGTTCGCTCTAAATTATCCAACACCGAAGCAAGTAAAAAGGTGTGTGAGATCGTGCTGTCGTATAGATTTTGGACTGCTGTGAGGATTGCTTGAAGGCATCACATCCCATTTTGATTGTGCTGAGGATCGTTGATGCTGATAGTACTCCAGCTATGCCCGAGCTTACGACGGCTATGTTGGCTGCTAAGAAAAAGCTCAATGAATCATTTGCAAGCAAGTCAAGGTTGTTGCGAAAGTTGATGGCTATTGTTGAACGGAGATGGGATGATCAGATGGGAGTGGATTTATATGGAGCCGCCTTGTTTTTAAACCCTTCTAAATATTTTGATCTTAAGGCGACGGATAGTACATGTGCTCGTAAGCAACGAGCCATGTTCAATACAGTACTTCATAAGATGATTAACGATGATGACTTGCAAGTGAAGATCAGCAATCAAGCCGATAACTATGATAACATGAGAAAAGACTTTGGAATGTCATTAGCAGTCAAGCAACAAAAATCAAAAGACTCCTCATAAGTAATACTATTATACTAAGTAAATAACTACCAAGTACAAAGTATATTAAATATGATAAATCTTAAACTTATTTTGTAGTTGATTGGTGGAATGCTTTTGGTGGACTTAGCATTGAGCTTCAAACACTAGCAATGCGCATCACAAGCCTTTGTTGTTCATCTTCCGGTTGTGAGCGCAATTGGAGCACATTTGAGTTTGTAAGTATAGTTTTCCTAATTAGTAAATAGTATTATAGAAAGTATAATTTATCTAAAATTTTAATACATGAATTTTAAACTTGTTTATTTTTCTACTTTTACTTTTTTAGATCCATACAAAGAAAAGAAACCGCTTAGAGCATAAGAGATTGAACGACTTGGTCTATGTTCAATACAATCGTAAAATTGCAAGTAGGTTTCAAAAGATGCGTGAAGAAGGGTCCAACTTTAATCCATTGGTCTTAGAAGAGTTCCAATGGGACAATGAATGGATTAATGGTGGTGAATCTAATGATGATGTTCATCCCGGAGGTATCTTTCAGGGAGGCATGTTAATGAAGCAATTGGTGCATCAAACAACCTTGAGGGCTCTCATCTTTCTACGAGAGCTCACGCAGGGGAAGTTTCACGTGCACAAGTGTTGAGCTATTCACGACGCCGCAATGCTTCTACTAGTACTTCTGGTTCTAGGATAGATGAGGAAGAACAAAATGAAGAAGAGCATTTTCCTAATGATGATGAAGACATTGAAGATGATGATGATGTTCAAGATGATGATGACCAAGTGGGAAATGAAGATAATAATGATGACAATGAGGGAGAAAGAAATATTGATGACTTCTTGATGGACCTTTGAGACTTTTAACTTGGATATTGTTGTCTTGTTGATTATTCTACTTGTGTAATTGTGTGTTATGTAATTGGTAACTTGGTAACTTAATATGTTGAATGCTTGAATAGTTGAATATGCTTAATTGTTTAGAGTTTAGACTTTAAGAATGTTTAAACTTTATATATATATATATATATATATATATATATATATATATATATATTGTACTTCCTAACTTGTCACCTAGGCGACAAGGGTGACTTAACAAGGCGCCGTGATAACTATGGTGTTGAATACTTGAATATGTTTAATTGTTCAGACCAAGGTTATCAAGGCGGACTTTCTAGGCGAGATGCCACCGACTGCCTAGTCGACTAGGCGATGACTAGGCGATGAGTATTAAATAAATAAAAAGTATATATATATTGAAAATATCTTGTCTTGGGCAGCCTTTTTGCTGGCATATTTACTTCAAGTAGATGAATAGTTTTTCCTAGAATAGTGAAAAGTCTAGTATTTATTGTATATTGAAAATATCTTGTCTTGGGCAGCCTTTTCACAACCCTATTTACTTAAAGCTGTCTTGAGAAGATGAATAGTTTTTCCTAAGGTGGTGAGAAGTCTAGTATATATTGATAACATGCCAGAGTGAGGGAGTAGGTTTTGCTCGGAACAGGAGGACGACGCCGGAGCTTGAACCGCGCCGCCATCAGAGCCACCACGCGCCTCCACGCGCCGCCGCTGTGCCGCTGCTCCGACACCACGCGCCGGCGCGTGAGGCAGATTCCGGCGACCTCTCCGGCTGAAAATTACACCGGTCAACTCGCCTTAGTGTGTAGGTTCTGCCCATGTATGTTTTGTGGAGTTTTGGGTTGTATTCTACACTTAGGCGAGGCGAGCATATTAGGCGTTCGGTCTTCACCGACCGGACGCCTAGGCGTCGCCTAGATAACCCTGGTTCAGACTTTAGACTTTAGATATATATATATATATACACATGTATGTATATATATATATATATATATATATATATATATATATATATATATATATATATTGTACTTCTTAACTTGTCGCTTAGGCAACAAGGCGGTCGGGGGGCGCCACGACTTAACACGGCGTTGTGATAACTATGGTTGGGAATATTTGTAACAAGCTTGGACCGTATGATTTATACTCTCCAGCTTGAGGGGGAGTGTTATGACATATGAAACCATAGGCAGATGTGTAGGTTAGAATGTTGGTTGTATGTTGTTATAAATATCTCCTATGAAACCATATCTCCTGCAGCCTTATGGCATATGGTTTCATAGGAGATAACATGTCTCTTTCAAAGCTCCTTTTTAGCCTATATATTGAGTTGTAATCTGAAGTCCATTGTATAATAATAGATGGAGTAATAACAATCAACACTTACCAGCTTATTATCAACAAAAACCAATGCATGGCAAGAGGCAAGAATTTCCAGAGCTCGTCTTGGGACTTTACTCATATCTCTTTCCAAGTCTTCACTATCTGTCAGCCCACCAACTCCAGAGAATTCCTGACAGTTGAAACATCAAAATGTCAAAAAATGAAGTGCCCAAAAGGCCAAAAGGTGAGATGATATTGCCAGCTCCATACCATGTCATCTGATGTCAACGTCCCAGTCTTATCAAAACAACATATATCAACCTGCAGAAGGAACCAAACTAAGTTGAATTTTGCAGTATAGAAAGGCAGCTAATCAATTTAAAAGTAAGTTTTCCTATTCAAGGTCAAGTACTATTTCATCTCTAGTTTCTCATAGTTCAGAATTCTTGAACTAAAAATACATATCGACTTTCGAGAATTCCAATCACAGAATCTATTTTGTCCCCTCTGTTCTCAACAGCGGGGAAAAAGGAACAAAACTAACCTATTTATGACAGTGTTAAAGCAGTTTTAACTGAGTACAGACAAAGCTAAAATAATTATTTTGCAGGTAGTTAAAGATAATGGTAATGGGTCAGCCTCATTTCCCCAATAGTTGCTCTTCCAATGACCAAATAACCATATATAAGTGAGTGCAGTTAATCAGTTATGCATTTAAATAATGTCCAACAAAATGAATCATCAAATGCTTGCAGAGGAGAGAAGTTGGAAATACAGCACAAAACGTTTCATTGATAAATATCAAATCTATCAATATAATATTCTAAAAGGGGTTATGTTAATTATATATGGTTAATGTTCATAAATGTGACAAATGTCAGTTAATACTATAATTGCATCCTTAAAAATCCAAAAATACCTTCCCGGCAAATGGGATTCGAAATGGCTCAGTGCAAAATATCCCACGTCGTGCTAGTGCAATCAAAGATGTATTAACCGCTATTGATAGTTCCATTGGTAGCTCAGGGGGGATGACTGAAGTAATAATCAGGGAACAACTGAGAACCAGCTTGTATTTACTTCTTGTTGGGTCCTCAAGCCCCTGCATTAGGAAACCCATATCAGAAACAAGACCATTTCACATCATATTCAATAATTAAATTCAGCATAAGTTTACAGGAATGCCATATTCACAAATTTACACTATACACTATAGCTCCACCTTAGAAAACTTAGAAAAACTATTTTCCTGTTTTTCAGGTTTATAATCACATAAAGATATGTTATACCTTTTTAAGAACATAGCCAGCTGCTATTAGTGCAAACACGACCAAAAAGAGAATGAATAGTCCACTTTCCCAGCTGTTAGCAGTTACCTATGACATAGAAATTAAGGCATCATTATGATCTATCCAGTGCCTGCATAACCTTGATCAAGCAGTGTTTTTACAGAATTACCCTCTCAGTGGAAAATAATATAGTCCGCATCAATTTTCCTTGGCTAGTCTCAAACCCAGTTCTTAGAACAACAGCCAAGCAGCCACCATCAGGGGTCTTCATTTGATGTGTCTACACATACAGAACCAAAAAGATCAAAATATGAACTGACATAAAAGAATTGTATAAAACAAAATAAAGCTATAAATGACCTTATCCGGTGTGTGTTGCAAAATCTTTGTTCCACCAAAAAGGACGTGAGCTTTATCTCGTCTAGCTGATAATTTCTCACCAGCTCCTCTACCCATGATTGAAACCTGAAATTAGCATAGGAAACTCTCTTTCACCATGAAAAATAAAAACAAAATAATGCTCTGTACAAAAAAAACATCCATCTTCCGTAGCTCACACTCATGCCCCATGGATAGAAATTTAAGATGCCAAAAAAAAAAAAAAAAAAAAAAAAAAAACGCCAACAATAACATCTGCTAAAATTAAACAATTCTCCTTTGCATATAAATAATTACATAGTCAGCGTGTTTACAGTTCCTACCTATAAAAACAACATTTCCGTTATTATATACTGTACTCATTACTCACTACACATTGCAAAACTAATTGTATTGATAGAAGCACAAGTTACAAAATTTTAGTGACTGGAAACCTGATATGGAGAAAACAATAGAAAGTGCAGAGAAAGATCACATGTATTATTTTTTTTATGAAGTTATGTGCCAATCCAAGAAACTCTTTCAGAACTCAAAGCCATTGTACTGAAAATTCCAAATTATTGTGATCCACTGATCCTATCTTCTGTATTATCAGAATCTATCATAACTTCTTGCAACCAAGCATTGCTATTAGAACTCCAAAAGTTCATTCCACCATGTTGAGCAAAAGGTACTAGTGGAAATAACATTCACCGCTCATAAAAATCAATGCCAAATGAGTGAATGACAAAGGAAATAAAAAGAAACTAACCTTCCATTGGGGAGTGGATTCACCAGTCAGTATAGCTTCATTCACAATAGCACTTCCAGCTAGCAAAAGCATGTCAGCTGGCACATTCTTGTCCTCTCCACTTTGACCAACAGAACGCCCAATGGACACAACATCTCCAGGCAATAGGTCAGTTCCAGATAATTTTACCCACCTAAAATAGAAACTCTTATTGCATGGGAAAAATCTATCCATATTTTCTACATCTTATAAGCATCATATAGTAGTAACAATAAACTGAAGAAAACAAATAGTATTTGAATAACATACTTGCCACAGCGATACACCATCAAAGTCTCACTATCAACTCTTACACGTCTAAGCTCAGATAGAGTCTTTATACGGCTCTTAGCCATTGTTGACTCAAACATAAACAGCATAAACAAGGTGAACAAACTATAGTACCAGTATTCATCTAAACACCATAAACCCACACAAAAGACCTGCATAAACGAGCAATAACAAAAAATGAGAAAATTGGCAGATTATAAGACGAATTAAATTACAAAGGGAGCATCAAGAACTCAGAACAAAAAGGAATACTTCAATAGGGCTGAATAGAGGAATGACTATAAATCATATCAAACCTGGAATACAAAAAAAGGTTCCATGCATTGTTCTTTCATTAATTTCTGAAATGTGGGCTGAGGATATTCAAATCTACAGTCAGGAAAGTAAAGATTAGGAGCAGAAGGAAACAACTAAGATAATGCAAACATGAATCTGACTTCAATAAATAAAAAAAATGTTGCACTTCATTGCCAGGAATGCAAACAGGGGCCAAGCAAAGGTGAATGTTGCAAGCATAGGAAATATTCTAAGAACAAGGTCAGAGGCTAGTTCTGAAGCTTTCATTGTCATGTGGAAGGATTAAAACCTGGAAACTTATCTAGAATATTTTATTTTACTTTCATTTGCTGGTCTATTTTTTTTTTTTAATGGAAAAAATACTTTACTAAAAAGAAATGCAGGACAGAAAATAGGACACTTTCTTAAAATTAATTCAATCATTTCAATGTTGAAACTGTACAAGTTGCATTGATGCAAGTTGGATCAATAAATTTCAGTATAACAAAAGAGTTGCTCTCCTATATTACGGAAAGTAGCCAATACATAAAGACCACAGAAATAGCATGTCGTCTAAGCCCAGTTGAAAGAATATTGATTCTATTTTTTATTTTCATTTGGTCTTTTCTTTCTATCCTTTTTTCCATTTCAAGGTTTTTCTTT